TGATCCAATTGTTTGCAGTAAAATTTAAAAAAAAAAACTGGGAAATTTTTTCAATGTCAGTATTTTATTGACACAATAATCTTCAAAAATCGAACTGAATAAACGGATTAAAATTCTTCGAGAGCTCCAAAAATGAGACTCTCTGGAGCCGGTCGGGCAGTGGGGCACTTAGGCTTGCGTTCTTCTTGTATCAGCAGGACATTTTTTTCCCTCAGGACTCTTTCTGTAATTTTTCTTTCTATTCAATAGTATTTCTCAGATCTTAATTTTTGGTCTTTTCATTTATTTCTGCAAGAGTGCCCACAGCGTAATAACCTTTTTTGTCACTTAGTATGCCAAGTCGTATTGAAGAAGCGCAAAAATCAAACCTTTGAAAAGCTTTACTTTTAACTTGTAGGTTTAAAATGTTCAATGGGGACCCAAAGATCGCAATTTCTCCTCTTAGCATCTTTTTTTTGTCGAAAAAAACTCTTAATTCAATTGGATTTTTTCTTAAATCAAGAGCCAAGCCTCTTAATTAACGCGGATTTCCTCTTGATTCATGCAAAGATCCGATTGAATCAATAGTATTTTCTCTTGTCAAATTTTTTAAGAGTCTTCACTCTGGATCCAAGAGGCTTTTCTTCCAATGTTGCCGTTTATTTGCTCGTACATTCCTTTCCCAATTTTGACTTTTTAATTGAACATTTTACAAATTGGAGGCATCGTGCAGGAGGATTTAGCCTTGGCAGAAGCCTTGTGGGCAGATACGAACGTTATGGTCGCCAAACGCTCGGCTCGAAATTTAAAGAGCCCAACGATAATAGAGATTAGATCGACATAATTACTTGTTACGGAGACGTTACTTTCTTCTGGCGCTCATAAAATATTTAATGACCAAATGAAACAATTATTTTGTGAAAGTGAAAACGTCAAGCACAGAGGTCTGGGCGATCCTCCGACAAATTAACCTTCTTCAACGCTTCGGAGTGCACTCGCTTTTTCAGGCGCCTCCACTCGGATCGTCGCGGCCTTTCCTTTCTCCGTTTTCATTTATTGCCCCCTCTGCCCGCGGCTCTGTTACATATTTCACTCTCCTGTTACGTTGTTGCGCTCATTGTCTGCCTCTACTTGCACCAACTTATCTGCATCTGAACGATTTAAACTCGTCTGCGATACCTGTCCTTTTCTCCTGCGACTTTCCATTCGTCCGTTTGGCTCGTGTGTAGCAGTTTTTTCTCGAACCATAGTGAGGTGTTCAAGCTATTTACCGGTAGAGAAAATGCCATAGTGCTCACGAGATTCTTGATTGATCATGATCCATAGGAACTCCAAAATCATACTAACTTAGTAACTTACTAACTTTAGTTGAAAAACTTATCCGGGGACTTGAAAAGTCAAATTCTTTACAAGTGCAAAATGTTTTTAAAGAATTCATTCGTTTTAACCACGTACTAGATTTCAGTCATGTGCTTATCACGCGTTTATGAAACAGAATCAGGTGCATGAATACTTTAGGCAGAAATCTTGGTTACTAGACTTTCTAGGGAGCAGAGACGTAGCAACTGCTAACATTTTCGTAATCCGTGTATATGAGGGGCCGTCCCTAACAGGGTTTGTACCGCCTTGGAAAGTCCTCGAAAGTTATTCGAGTTCTCATCAATTTTTTAAGGCCCTTATAACCATTGACTTTCGAAAAGTAGTCCAAAAAAACGCGAAAAAGCTTGAATTTCACATCTTAGCAGAAATTCAAAACTAGGTCATCACCATCAGGTGTTGCGCTGATCGTGCAAATTTTCCACTCATTTAGCAGGAATCTAGTGCCTGAAAATAAAATTTCTCATTATCGAAAATGACCCAGAGTCCAGAGAAAATTTCTCAATATGAAGGCCATGAACCGAAGGCATTGAGGGTTCCTTTACCGTGAGAAGCTCTGTATTAAAGATAGGTTTTCAGCAACAGATCAAAGATGAAAAAATTGGGAGTGAATCCAATTTTTTGTGTTGCACGTTTCGTCACGTCTTACCTGCCGTGAAAACTCGTGAAAATTATCCCAAGAATTAGTCATCATTAATTTTCGTCTGTTTTAAAAATAGAAAGCGTTTCTTCGGACGTCGGGTTAGAATGTGTGAAAATTCATAGATTTCACTCTCTCGAATAATTTCGAGTCAGCTGTTGCCGTCAATTACGCCTTATTTTCTGTGGGTCTTGGTCGCCTGTCGGGGGCTGTCCTTGATGCGTTCTCGCGGGGCCGGGATGATATTATTAAAATGCGGGAATCAGAATTTGTTTTTTTCGTCGAGATCTCGAAATAGACGGCCCATTTGGGCGCCAGAGTGAGAGTGACACAGTGCAAATGAATTGGAACGGGGGATATTCAAATAGCCCTCCTCGACTCTCCTTCCCTACGACTCGGCTGAAACCCTGTCAGTAATCCAATTGATTAGCCGTCTTATTTCAGGAGATTTGCTCCAGGTCTCCTGGAAGAGAGAATATTTTTTCTTTGTTTCAATTTGTGGCCGTTCAGGCCGAACAAGAAAAGGAACTTCAGTCCATGGAGGCAAATTTTTCTATCGAGTGATTTTTATTGAGTTAGCTCGAGTAATCGGATTTTGAGATTTTGACGGAAAGCTCTCATTAGACTAGTTTTGCGTGTCACTTCAAGGCGCAAACTTGTTTTTCAAATCAATCATTTTTGTCCTCAAACATGGTGGTTTAAAACTTAGCACAGGCATTTTTCAGAACTAGGTACGTTGTTTGAACTGCAAACTTCAAATGGTCACAACTACGTTTTGGATTTACATTTGCCGGCGTTTTTTGCCCGTAAATGTTTACAGGACACTCATCTCTGTTTTGAAGTCTCTACAGTATAATTTTGAATTTTCGTGGACTAAGGTCCCTTTTCTCGTAGATTAGATCCTGATACGTTAAGCTCGATCAGCTAAAACAAGGTTTTGGTTGACCTCTACCTTATTTTTCCCGGTGTGAGGCATGGGACTGTTCGGTCCATTGCTTTTACTTCCTCACATGTGAAGTGATCCAGACGCTGATTTATTTACTTTTTTTCTGAAAGTAGATATCCATTGATATTTCACATTTTGCTTAGCACTGCAAGGACGCATATAATGTCACTTGAAAACGGGAAGATAGAAACGTCTATCTTCTGAAACGAGGTCAAGCTATGCAGTTTTTTTCACTTACTAAGACTTTATCTATGCTTACCGACTAGTCTTGAAAGTGAAGATAAAAACCCCCCGTGGTAAGCACAACAGAATGAGTTTTCGTATCGTATTGTCCATTGTTTTTATGGTACCCTTGGTAGAGTTTACCTACTAGGCCAACAAACCTAAGTACATACACGATTTTTACCTTTTAGATAATTTTTTCAAACTGGTTATCAATGCGTGTTAGAACAAGTGTCTAAACTAATTTTTTCTTTATGAAAAATCAATCGCACAACAGATTTTTTGCATTAATTTAAAAATCTGCCAATTTTTTTTTAATTTTTTATTTATTTTTTTTTTAAAGGAAGTGTCAAAGTTCGGTCAAAGTTTCCGTGTGAAACACACGCGTCATTTGATTCATGCGTCATTGCGTCATCAAACGCCATTAATGAAATCTGCGACTTCAGACTTTTTCACCATTTCGATTCGCGTTACCCAACGTTATTTTCCAACTTGAAAACTTTATTTTTAGATCAGATTGATTCAAGTCGGCTCCCACCTCTCCAAACACGATTTTTGTATAGTTTTCCCATACGCTGACATCCGGACCCCCGAGGTATTCAATCGGCCGCACCGTGAATTTAAAGTAAATTGCGGGAAGCGTCTCTACGTTGAATACATTGTTAAGGTTATGGGCAACGGGGTCCTGAGCGCTGAAGATGCGAGACCTACCACCTACCACGGCACTAAACCTAGACACCAGAACGATCGTTCGTATTTCCTTCACGTTCCAGTATCGTCATAACCATATTATGTATGCTCAAAGCGAGCTCGGGCTTTTCGTCTACCATGAGGTGGAAGTATACTTTCTCCTCTCTATGAACATGGTGGCTGGTGGCGGGCACTGTTCACTCGCCCTTTCAGTGGATTAGGATCCAAAAAGCTATTGTTCGCATTAAGTTTATCCAATTTTTATTAAGAGGATTCAGGACTGAAACTACTATTACTTAGGCAATCATTTGGTGTAGGTAATAATTCAGGCATTCGTCATACTAGCGCAGTATGAATCACTGATCGTCGAAACAAGGTGAAAGAAACCATGGTATGCACTACCATGATGGATGACATCATACGATGTGTTTATCCATAAGCGATATCTCCATCAGCCGGCTGGTTTTTGAAATTGACAGATAATTGGATAATTCCAAAGACGAAGGAGACAAAGGTAAAATGGAGCGATCAGATTGGCGGGAGCCGATGATCACAATAGACAAGGAGGTATGTAATAGACTAACCAACGGCGACCAACGAGAGACCCTATAGTGAAACCATCCCTTCGTTCTTAGTCTATAACAACCAATCACTCCCACCAAAAGTATCGCTCTATTTTTCCCTCGTCTTCTTTGCCTATCTCTTTTTCTATCAATTTCAATAAGAAGCCCACTGTATTGGACGTAGATAAACTTAGCGTTCAAACAGATGTCACTTTTTTTTTGCTTATCTCCAAGCGTAAGCCATCAGAACGTAATTGGATTGCATTTTGCAAAAAGGAACCAGGAGCATTCCAATGTCGCTAAAATGCGCAACATTTGAAACCATGTAAATATAAACTGATCGTCTTGACATGAACCCCATAAACTATGAAGTCAATACTATTACCTCTATAAAGTTAATTCTTTGCATAATTTTAGTAATTTTTTTGAAAAGGTTGTAAGTTGCACATTGCCCAATCCTTCTGATCTTCGTTTCTTTTCGCAAAATTCAATCCAATTCTGTGACCAGCGCAACTGGCTTATTTCTAATAAATTGCTTAATGTCTGAAACTAAATGTCTAAATTGAACGTTTTGTTGTTGCAGGAAGCAGTAGTAAAGAAACGAGGAAGGACGATATGCTCTCCTCATCGATAATTGGCCCGCATGGTGAGTTGAGTGACAAATTACATTGGCTCGAATTCATCCTATCGCATGGCTCGGACTCGGAGGCACTTGGCCCCCGAGTAGTGGAACTTGAACTTGGAATAGAAAACATTTGATTTTGAGCCGCGAGGAATCCTATTAAAATGACATTAACTCGATTACTCCCAACAGATTACACGAGTCGGTCCCGCTCTAAACGCTCACGACACGCAATTGACGGCGTGTGAGGGACCGCCGCCGCGCCGCGGTGGCGCTCTATACCTTGCTCTCACTCACGTTTCTAGTGTTGAGTACTATACCATCGTGCTAAGGAAAAACACTATTTGAGCCATCAGACGTTGACAAATTCTCTGCGACAAAATACGAATTTTCAGGAAAATTTTTGAATATTTCTTATCCGATTTTGCACAGAATTTTGTTCGTATAATTTGATCTAAAAAGTCTGAAAATTTCAAGGAAAAATATCCATAATTCTCCTCAAAAATGAATATTTCCAAAGAAGAAATTTGGCAATGTTCGAGTGCTTTTGCGGCGTTTTTACTCAGCATGGTAGTACAATAGACAAGAGCCGCTGGTTGCATGTACTTCAGTACTTGCCGCATTGGGCTAGACCAAGGTTACTCAAATGTAAGCATGCGTTTTCGAGGGCAACTAAACAAATCGGATGGCAACTGAGAGTCGCCGTAATCGAAACCAGGCATCTGATTTCAAAATCGTCGAAGAAATTCATGAAAGAGCATTATTTGGGCAACATTTTGCAATAATTAGGAACCACAATTCCTAGCTCATCTGTGAAAGCACTTATGTGCACTGAGAGAATAATGGTATTTACGTTATTTCTAAAACGATCCAGAAATTGTAGTTCCTATTTGCGAAATGTAGCCCAATCAAGCTGCGACTTTTTGATGAAAAAAATGTATTATGTCGTTTCGCAATTTTTGCGGTTTCTTTTAGTTGCCCTCAAAAATTCACACCTTACTTTTTACTTTGAATTCCCGGGAAAGTTTAGGGGAACGCACCTCCCAGCTCCCTAAATTGCGAATGTGTGTGTACTGCTGTGCACATGCGCACCTGCGTCTGATTCTCCTACAAAGTCTCCATTTGAGGCACCAACTTGTCTGGAAGCTTAGGTTACCTACCGAAAATTGCATTTCAGTAGCTAAATACCACGATGCACAATTCTCTCCTGAGTTGATTATATCGCGGTCCAGTTGTCAAATTGTCGAAGATGATGGCTGTGAACAGTAACTAATGGATGACCAAATTCGTTCGTACTTAGCCGTCTTTAATTGCTCAACTTTAGTCGCATTAATCCCTCGCCCATAAACTTTCTCTAGTTACTCTAACACCATTTTGTATTTATTGAGCCCGTTTCTAGCTCAACCCCTAAAAACACCTATCATCATAGAGAAACCAATGACACGAATGTTGTCTCTATGTACAATGATCGAAAAATAGTAGTTCCTCATTGCAAAATGTAGTTCACTTGACTTTCATTAAAATAATGATTAAAAACCGTGGTATGCACGAATGCGGTAATATTTTCGTTTGTCAGTTTTCCGGACGAATATTTTGAATCTTACGGTAAACGTCGCAGGGATCTTGAAAGAAATAGAAAAAGGAGCTGCCGTTGTTTCATTTGCCATTATTGATGATCGGGGACCGTTTGACAGCCACAGTGAAAGCTTCTAATTTGCATTCTATCAACGATTAACTGAAACGCGGGGAGCTTTTTATCAGACAAGTGATCAGGGACCATCTAAAGATCAGTTCGCCTATTTACGGTGTGCATTCAAATGCGATCTACTTTCTCGAAACGAATCAGAAATAAAAAGGTTACTTTTCCGACCTGGTTGTCGCCTCCTCCGGTTATTCGCATTTACATATTTTCCAAGCTTCGGTTGTCATTATAATTTCACGAAAGAGAATATTTTTTCATTGTCATAAAGTGTATAAGCAGGCCTTCATGGTTTTTTTGAAATCTCAGTTGACTTAGAAGAGGAATAGGATAAATTCATACAAATTCAGTGCAGAAGCTCAAGAATTCGGATATTGCCACCCGCAATGAAAGGGATGACAAACTCAAAGTTAACTACCAAAAGAAAAAGTATTCACTTTGATGGAATTTTTGAAGACTGAAAAAAAGCTTGGGATTTTCTCATCGTTTTCCTCGAGGAATGTTGTCTTGTAATCGTAAAAATACTTAATTTTACGATAAACCGCCGCTCCTGTAACCCAAGGGCGTAACAGATTTTTTGAAACGTCATGCCGTCTGCTTGGCTCTAAGCTTTTTTTGCTCTCGTCAAAGTAGGCATACGCAGTGATCCCAAGCGTGCGGATATATCTGTACCGTGCGGACCAAAAGTATATTGGAAAACACTTCCCCGTCTTAAAAAGTTCGTACGCGTGACGTCACAGAGTGACGGAGCAACCAATAGAAGCACAAAGAGCGGAAAAGCGCATTAACTTTGTATACGGCGCACTCAGGAACACTGCGTTCGCCCTTACGTCAGAGGAACGACAAAGTGAGTCGACGCATTTCAAGCATTCTTAATTTTTTTATTTTATTTTATTTTATTTTTTTTTACCGTGTAAAACAGGAAAACTTTGGAACTAGCGTCCGGATAATCTTACAATTTTCGTAACTTTTGTTGTAATTAAAAATTGGGCATCCTGATAGGCTCTGGTTCTTCCTCTCCTTCCTTGCCGAGGAGGCAATGCCCTCCACACTCCGGAGGCCGGGCAATCAATGGTGCTCCGAAGAGACGGACGATAGATTATTGAGACTTGACTCCGCGCGGCGTGCGCATTGTTGCAGATGTGGTCGGCGATCGGCGTGTAATCGGCGGTCCTGGTCGGACGTCTATGCCAATGGCAATGGGTGCCTTTCATGGGCTCAGACCTCTGGAGTTCCAGCCTTTATGTCCGTCACGACAACGTCCGTCATCGGTCGCCGCGGCGCGGCGCGGCGCTGCATGCATCATTGTAGAATAGAACGCGCTTGGAATATTAGTCATCATTTGCTCTTACCTTCTACCTTCCACTTCAAACTAATGTCTGCCGTTGCCCATTCTACCCGCTAAACATCGCATTTTTGTCCTAGCGCACTTGATCTCATGTCTATGTCGCTTCGTTTGATCTGCCGCGTGTGTCCTAGGATTCTAGGACACACACGGTTGGTGCTTAGAGTTGTGCGTATAATGAGATCAATGTAGGATAAAGTGTGATACACAGCAATATGACTTCATGCACCCAGACTATTTATACGCAGAGCCTCATTATATGATCGGTTCGGACAAATATTCCATTAACTTTAAGTTCTCGTTGATCGTAGCGATTGTCATTGTTCTTTAAATTACTCTAAGTCAGAGACAAATGAAGACTCTCCAGATGAGCAAGAAAGCCTTGTGGTGGCCACTAGACAGTCTGGCTATCGCTTTATGTGCTCCTCAGAGAATTCAGTAGCCAGCATTAGACTTCAGGTAGTGATCTCCATACGTCTATTAAATGTTTGAGAAATCTGGTAGCCAGCGGGCTGATGATTGAAATCGATAGACAAAGCAATGGACAAAGAAGACATAGGGAACATAGAGCGATCCTATTTGTTGAAGCGAACGGTCGTCATAGACTAAAGGGGAAAATATGGAGTACCTAAAGGGTCTCTCGTGGGCTGCCGTTAGTTAATCTATTATTCACCACTTTAGTCTATTGCAACCACCCGCTTCTATCACTCAGTCTATTAATGTCAATAATCAGCCCGCAGCACTAGATTTTCTGGGACCACCAGACTCCATCAGGAGCGTTTGCAGTCAGGCACGCTAGGTAGCTGCGAATCCTATCGGCGCTCCGTAACTCAACCTTTTTGTTTGCCGCTGAATTCTGTTCTTTGAATTGAGCTTTCAGTTTCCCGCTCACAGAAAAAAAGTGGATGGTGCTGACGACAGAACCTTCCGTTCACAGGGCTTCTGCTGTTTCTTTGTCACACTTACAGAACTTTTCTGTTGTGAGAACAGAACTTCGTAACAAAGAAACCGCAGGAGCCCTGTATGAACAGAAGGTTCTGTCGTCAGCACCATCCATTTTTTTCTGCGGCACCGAAGTTTGGTCCCTTCAACCGAAGATGTCGGCTCGGACGATTGAGGACCTCCTTAGAACCGGAAAGCGCCCTTGGACTTTTCCGGTTGGTATTACCGGTGTCTTTTCCTCCGTACTATCGAAGGAAGTACACGCGGTCCGTAAATCGTCGGATCATTACTTCGCAACGCCTTTAAGGTTCAGTTACGTGATCAAATTGAGCCGTCAAACTGAAGCTCTGATTGGTGGAAAAAGACCTGAGGTGAGTTTGCGACCAATGAGAGGCCCAATTTGATGGCTCAATTTGATGGTGTAACTGGACCTTTATCGGTCGAGGTCGTGCTGTATCCCATCGATGGAGGTTCAATGATGAATAACGAGTCTCCCCGTCGACCAATCAGGTGGTGTCCCACGCGGCAACAGAGTGGCAAGGCAATGGAATACATTGGAAGTGAAGTCACCGAGTCACCTCTTTGACACTTGGCCGCTGGAATTAAAAATCCTCGCTCGACGAAGACGACGAGACCGATGCGGACGCGACACCGCGTTGCATCGCTCATCGCCGCCGCGACGCGACGCGCTTGACCTGTTGATTGGTTCCCGGTATAATTATTCGTCGTCATTTCGCCCAAACGCAGTCACAGACGCCTGCCTATCCGCTGTTTCTCTTCCTGGCGTCTGTTTGTTGCGGATAGAAGCAGGCTCCTACGTCATAGTCCTTCAAATAAGGTAACAGTGAAGTCTCGGCGGATGTGAATAAACATCGGAACTAATTTTTACCCAACACAGTCGACGCAAATGCTTTATCTTACACTGAAAATAAAACTTCGGCCGTGGAAGCCGTACTCACGGGCTACCTAAACTTACCGTCCGCGTTACGAGCTCAGAGGCCGAAAGTTCCGGGCTTAGCACTCAGAGCAATCCAAGCT